CCTTTATTAGTCCACACACAGACCAAAAAAACACAGAACAATTTCAGATTTTGTCTTTCAGATCTTTGGCATGTTGCCTGTTAAAAAAATATCACATATACCATACCAAGTCCACGATGAAGATCGTACAGAATGTTTGAATGTGAGGCCAAGGAGATATGTTTTACCATATCCAGGAAATGAAGAGAAACCCTATACTGTTTTCCAGGTACTAAGCATAAAGCACCATACAATACAAAGCATATCAATTAGACAATTGTGGTCTTTTAAAATATTGCTACAAGTACTTTTTGTGTTGTCCCAAACTGTGCAGAATGTAGGACTGAAAACAGCAACAAATCTGGTAATGAGAGTACCCTGGTGTCTCAAGTTCAAGGGAAGATATTATGAACAAAACCCTGGTATTGGTAACCTTTGACCTTTAACTAACCTGTACTCGAAGTTTTGCAACTGGTTATTCAAATCTACTTTGTTTTCTAAGGCTTTGCTCATCCTGGTGGAAGATTCGTTCCTTATCCTGGTATGGCTGTAATAGAAAATGATTCCCCACTTGTTCTTGGTGCATTACCTGGAGGAGGCTTCGCTATGGAACCTGATCCAATAAAAACAGTTCGCACTTTCTTCCCTGAGACCTGGATATGGGACCTTGTGGAGACTGGGTGAGATGCTGATGAAAACCAGGCTGCAATTTGTAGCACTGTTGCCTTTGATTACTGGCCCAGGGTCTTTCTGCATGGAGTTTGTATGTTCTACCAGGCATTAGTATGTTCCAAAACCATGTTTCTCAGGTTGATTATTATCTCTTAATTGTCATTGCATTATTTTGTCACTGTTGTAGTAGGGTGACCAGATTTGGGTTTCTGAAAACCCAAATCTGGTTAAAAAACAATTTGGGGGGGGATTAGGGTGGCTTCGTTCTGCTGCACTGTAGTAAACCAAAACCCCGAAAGACTTTTTAATTCCCCCCGGACATTTTTTTTAGTTATGAAAAGTAGGACATGTCTGGGAAAAGGAGGACATCTGGTCACCTTAAGTTGTAGAATGTTTCAGTCTGAGTGGTTTTCCTGTAGATGATAAAGGAGCAGCAGGCTTAATCCAAGAGTAAACAGAACAAAGATACCAAAGTAAAGCACAGTAAGATGGTTTGTGAAAAACAGGGATTAATTAAGTCATGAAGTAAAGATGATGATGCAGCAAAGACAAACTGTAGAGGAAGGATATATATATTTAAATATATATACCCTGAGGAGGAGACCAACAGGACCATTACTGTAGCAAGAAAGTGGGAACAGATGTGCCGAGAAAGAACTAGAAGAAAACTAAACCAGTCATGAACTGTACGATCTTTTCAGTTTTTGTACTCAGCTACAGCTCAAATTAAAAGACAAAACCGCAGGGTTTAAATGGTTATTATTAGCAATGTATGTTCTTTCACTGTAAGACTCGACGCTCTGATGAGATCTAACTGTTCACACTGCATGTCCAAAAAAACCACTCGTCAATCAGGATGAAGAAGAAGAAGAACTCGAGCATACGCATTGCGCAACAATCTGCTAAATTGGTTCGTAGAGGCTCTTAAATCTGCTTCAACAGCAGGATTTGCCCACGAACAGCTCGCGAAGGCCAACTGAATTTCAAACATGTTTGACTTTCTCCCGACTTTACGATTCCTGATCGGGAGGTGGTCATAAAACCTCCTCTGAAACTCTGCCTGATCCAAACTATTCTTCCACGACTGAAGAATCATCCTGAAAAGAGCAAAAACTCGTACAGTGTATGCCCTGCTGAAGGGGAAGGAAGCTTTGATAGAGCAGCAGCACTGTGGAGCAGAACTGCTCCCTCTACTCCAGTGAACATGTTAGGATGGAAGATGGACATTGGTCCTCAATGTCCAAAATTATTCTCTTTATGGCAAAAGCAGATTATCTTTGTGTAATGGTACAATTTCTGTTAGTCATGGAGTGCCAGACATGGGCAATGTGGAGTCAACAAGTCATCTCCATGTCATGTATTGGTTCTACCCAGCCAATTAAC